ATAGACCTTCTGCCATGAAACTGGTCTTTTGCCACCAAGTTATTTGTCTTTTTACAGGATCTGATATACTAGTCAAAGCATCCAAGTCTTCTTCTTTCTTTGACTACTGCGCCAGAATTTCCCACTCTAAAGGCCTTGATTCTGCTCTGGCCCATTTTACTGCTGGGATGGTGGAGGTAAGGTGTCCCAACACCTGCATAGCTTTTCTCACAGAACATTTTGGTTTTCGCTGAAGTTCTTTTATAAGTTTCTTTATCTTTTTTCCCCAGTTAGGTGAATAGAAAGTTTCTGACTTTATAAAAAAAATCCAGACAGGATTTTTCTAGGTTTATAACCCAACAATGTTCTTCCAGGATTCTGAGGGTGTAAGCCACATCCAACTCTAGAGCGTTTCTTGAATCTGCCTTTATAAACCAGTCGTCCAAGTATGGAAAAACTGTGATTCCTTGCACCCTTAAGAAGGCCGTGATAGGTGAGAGGACCTTTGTAAAAATCCTAGGAGCCGAGGTGTGACCGAATGGAAGGGCTTTGAATTGAAAGTGATGAACCTTGTGACCTTTTCTTATGGCAAACCATGGGTATTTTCTTGAGCCTACGTCCATAGGAATATGAAGGTAGGCATCTTTTGAATCCAAAGTCACCATAAAATTCCCTCTTTGAAGGATATAAGTGACTGATGCTATGGTTTCCATTCTGAAATGCTGGTATGGAATCTTGTTGTTCAGCTCTGGTTTTGGGACCAGGAACAACAGGGAGTAGACGCCCTGATATAGCTGGGTACTTGGAACTCTTTCTACAACACCTTTCTTTAAAAGAGTTACCATAGCGGAGAAGAGAGCTTGTTTTTTTAAGTTTTGAACGATAGGAGGAGACAAGGAAACTTGGTCTTAGAACACCTAAGAACTTGATTCTGTATCCTTTGCAACCAGATTCAGAATCCATGGATTTGCAGTGGTCTCCCTCCATCTGTGAGCAAATTGTTGTATCCGTCCGTCCACTTGTATGGTGTCAGAATAATTATTGCTCTGTGAGACTTGATGTCTTTGTGTGTCTTAAACCTCTGATCTTTCCTTTGTTGACGAAAAACCTGGGTTTGTCTTGATACCCCCTACGGTCCTTGTACTGGAAGTTTTTGTATTTGGGTTTTCATGAATACTTTCTGTCCAGATGGAGAGCCTTTTTGGTTTCTGACATTTGTCAGATTAATTCTTCCAAAGGATAACCAAACAATTTCTTCCTCTGTAAAGGAAGTTCACACAGTGCAGACTTCAAGGCCATATCAGCCGTCCACAGATGTCAAACCCATGACACGAGCCGAAAGTTAAATCACCTCTGTGATAACATCTAGCAGATATTCATTGGATAACCTTAACTTTTGGAACAGGTTAGAAAGAACTTTGTCTTGGTATTCATCCAGGCTATCTTCCAATCCTTGAAGCCAAAGGTACTGAGCTTTAGCCACCGAAGCTCCTGCCAATGCTGCTTTAGCCTGAAATCCTGCTGCCTGATATGCTTGTCTGCTGGATGTTTCTTCCCTTTTATCCATAGGGTCTTTAAGACCAGAGACTTCTCCAATCGGTATGGTAGTCTTTTCAGACAACTGAGCAACTTGTACATCAACAACTGGCAAGTCTTCCCACTTGTCTTCTCCCTGTAGTTTAACAATGCTCTGAAATGTCTGGAAATAAATGGCCTTTTTTCAGGGTTCTTCATCTCTCTGTACATAAGTTCCAGAATCTGTTGTTGAAACTGGAAGGGCTTTTCAACTTGCTTTGTCTGATGAGTCATCAGCTAAGGTAACATTAACTTCCTTAATAAATCTCTTCAAGTCTTAATGTGGAAAACAGACTTCTGTAGCAGAAGAGTCGCTGGATGTTTCCAAATAGGAAGAAATAGAACATTTGCCCGAGGACAGTTCTGATCCAGATGAAGATCTCTTCCATTTTAGCCTTTGTTTGGTTGTTGCTTTAACAGGAACTGTAACCTTTGACTTTGCAGAATCTTTGAATGACTCAAATGTCTGGGTCGGAATGTCTTGAAACCAAGGCAAGAATGATTTCAGGTTCTGTTGCTTGGACTTTTCCAGCGATAAGGACGAACACGGATTGCAGGTTTTCCATTTTGAACTATCTGGTAGTGATGTGGAGCATTCACTACAACTCAGATGTTTCGATTTAGGCACCTGGTCTTTATCAATAATATCTGGAGAGACAGGACTAGACATATCTGCAATACATAAGAAATTACAAAATTGCTGTAAAATAAATAAACAAGATAGACACAGAGATCTTAAAGATTAGAGACTGAAAAATCTCACCTCTAAAACCTCTGACCCATGTGGGAGGGCTGGTGACACAGGAGATGCTTCCTGGCTAGCATCCATGCTGTCAGTCAGATCTGCACAGTTTCAATTGGCAGCATTGATTCAAATCTGGCGCCATTTCCGGGAATTCCGACCGCACATGCACAGTACTGCGGTCGGAACTCCGACGGAGCGCATTTCCACGGGCAAGCATTCCACTGCATCACAGTTAAACAGAATCTCAAGCATCTCCAATGCACATCTACAAAATAAGTATTGACAACTTTTCGAGATGTTCAAACCTCACTTGGCAACATTTTTCCATGAATCCCTGCGAGTGAAGTGTAAACGTAAAGAATCACGGCACACTGGCATTGGATGTCAGGTTCAAAAAGAATTGTCTTGCATGTTTAAATTTAGTCTGCAATGGAAATATTCTTAACAGAACAGAATCATGCTATAATAATTACAGAAATTGCCGTGGGCTATTGTAGGGTTTAACTCACTCATTATAAACTTTCCATGCATTGCAGCCATGCTGAGACATGATCTCTAGATTCTCAATGCGGACTGCCTGGTGCTCCAACTGAGCCATTGAGTTGTTGACGCATTCTTGCCATGCTGTGATGTCATTCCTCTGCCCAGAGGATGGTGCAGGCAACTCATACCTGAATATGGGACAGAGTAAGTAGATGATCAACACATGGAAGTAGCACATTACTCGTTTAGCTCTTGCAACAAGCCGTACAGCATTTCTTTCAGACACAGTCATTTATAGCCCAGACGGACACAAAATCTATAAAAACAAAACCCCAAAACATTATTTCCTAAAAAAATAAACTGTGTACATATTTGCAAACCTGCAAAATATATGTAGAAGTTGTTCTGTACATTTTTTTTCAGTTCAACTGACAAATTCGGACATGTTCTCATAAGATTATAAGTGATTATATTAGGGTTAGGTACTAAAGTTTTAATTAGCGAAAAAATTAAAAGTTTCCAATTTTAGCCTAAACAAAGCTTACTTGGAGACTATTTTTTTTTTTTTTTTTTTTTTTTTTTAATTCTTTATTTTACGAGTGCAGTGTTAAGTACAATCTTTTGTAATGACTTATGACAAGAGATATAATGACAATATTTAAACAGATAAGGTCAAGATGTGCTGCACTTACTTGGAGACTTTTGTATGGAATCTAGGTCTTGATTTAATATTTTTGAATAGGCTTTTTTTTTCTTTTTTTTTTTAAACGACTTAATATTTTTTACTAAACTTTTAAAATTATGTCTTCAACATTTAAAAAAAACATACCATATAAAAAAAAATCAATATATAAAAAAAAATAAAGAGCAAAATATTAAATCATTTCAAAAGCTCATTCAAAAATATTCAATAAAGGCCATTATTGAAATTTTTACTACTTAACAATTCGTACCTTTGCTAATAATACTTTATATCTGTCTTTTGCCTAAGGGCTCAGAAAAAAAATATATACTGACATTCCAACAATAATCACGACTACAAGAAAATGATCTCTATATTAAAAATGAAAAAGTGGTGAACTTTTCTGAGTTTTCACACAATTAAATCAGACTTACCGTTTTTTTTTGCATTTTTAGTAAAAAAAATACACACATGGGTCAGTGTTCATGCACGCGTATGTTATTTGTCATCACATTTAATTTTCAATACCCTACAATAACAGGCATGAAACAAAATGATAAGATATGGAAATATTGTCTTATATATGTTAAGCTTACCTCTTCATGCTGAGAAGCTCAATTGGCTGCCGAGCGGACAGCCTTTCGAATTCATTCCTCATTATTTCAGTCTGCAGGGAAACAAAGGAAAATGAATAAAAATACATACATGCTAATCCAGAGTATAGATTACTTCTTAATTTTACACTGCATTGTGTACAAAGACAGATAAACCTTAAATAATGTACAAGGTCTTGTGGGGATGTCACAGTGACCACAAAAACACTGGAAATTCAGACCATTTAAATTTTATGGAACATTCATATAGAACTAACCTCAAAAGCAGAGTAATCTGGAGTTGGTAAGTAACTCAGGTAATTCTTGGTAGGACGGTACCTTCTAGTTTCCTCTTCAACCAAAGCTGCAGCCTGATGTATAAGAATAAACAAAGCATACAGAAACATGTCAAGGTAACAAGCAAGAGGTTAAGATTTTTTATTTAAAATGTCAATGCTGCCCTCTCACGCTTGCACGAGAGTACAGCAGTTATGTCGGAGCAGATCAAGCAAGATGGCAGCACCAGTTAGGGAAAGGTTCAGGTAAGTAACTCTCACCTTTACATATTCACCAGCGGCAATTACACAGTCGGGGGACTTTGCAAATTCGGCAAAGTCACAAGATGGTGACAGTGTCCCTTTAACAGATAAACTTTATTTCCTATTCCATGTTCCCCAGAATAGTTGCAAAACAGACAACCCTTTGCTCTAGTTTAAATGGGATACTCCACTGTCCAAACATTAAATTATATAAATAACTATAGTAGATATATTCCCAATGAATATATGCATGCACTTATTTATGCATTTTTAATTGGGGGTATAATTAAAAACAGCATGTAAAATCAGCAGATCTCTTGCCTGAAGCCTTTGCAAATGCTCCCCTTTTAATCCCACCCAGACTTTCAGTGGCTATCCAATCACAGACTTCCCATTGCAGCTCAATGAGAAGTCTTTGCAAGGCAGGTGCTCTGAGCAATTGCCGTCTCTTGAGTTTAGCCCAACTGAGCTAACCAAACCAGGAAGTAATAGGACCTGTTGTCTGACAGCTGGATGGGTGCAACCAGTTAAATTTAGAAAAGTGTCTATTGAAATCAGCACCTTTGAGTAAGATTGAAAAAAAGAGGACACAGTCATCACGCTACAGTGGTGTTAAAAATAATAACTTGTTTATCATGGAGGTAACTACTATTTTTTTTTTTTTTAATCGGTTATCTACTTACCCCTGCTTACACTGTTAGGAATTGATGCCCATCACATTTAGTGCAAGTAGCTGCCTACCTTTGGTGGACTACAGTTCCTACAATGCTAAGAAAGTTTTGACTAAGGTTGATGGGAGCCAAAATATTCATATGATGTAGTGGGATAGTGAGGCATTCACTTACAAAACAGTTCATGTGGAATGTGACTATACATTTAGTCTCATCCAAGGGTTGATGGAGCTTTATAGTGCAGAAATGCTTTATATAACAAGTCACCATTTATATTGATACTTTCAAATTTAAACTTAATAATGGTCCTTGAATAAAATATATTTTTTTTACATATCCCTAAATCTCATTTAAACTATCAATATCTGAGAAGCTTCAGACTGGAGATATCACATCATGGTACTTGAACTAACACAGCCCTAAATTATGAATGACAAACTGGTTATATCTTTAATACAACAATGATAAGTATTCTAAAGAAGTCATTAAAATACAATATTTACACAATTAATAAAATAACATTTCTTTCATAATGTATCATAAAGAAGAGGCTAAAAAGAAGTAATAATAAAAATGTTGGCATTGACAAGGGGGAAAACTGAAATGTTTGTTTCTTTTTGGTCCTTCAAATAAATTGTATGTAGCACTGTTAGAGCTCATTTAGTTCACTTCCTTGATTTCTTGAATTTGGCTCTGCTTTGAGCAACAGGATGCAAGGTTAGCAGCACAGAGTTACTACATTTTATATTGACCTCTGAGATTGTCATTTTGTGATCTATTATTTTTCTTCTCAATCCAGATCGAAACATGCACAGATGAACACAGTGAATAAAACTAACTCAAGTGCAGACTGTACAACCATAACCACTTCTAAGGATTCTCATTGATAATGTATACTGTTGTGCAGCACTATAATCAAAGCTACCCTGTAGGTGGCAACATTTGTGTCACTAATTAAGGGGGGGGGGGGGAGGCAATTGGGCCATGGCACCATTAAGAGATATGTAGACTGAATAGGAATTATTTTATTAACCTAAGCACAGAAACCATACAGTGCACTAAAATCATTACCACAAAATATATATATATATATAGTTTTGTTTTTTATAAAGCCTCCCACTGTTATGCTCACCTTAGATCTGGAAAGTGATCAAATATACACCCTGGTGAACTGTTGTGCCATATACAATCATGCATTTAACCAAGTGCAATATTAATCATGGACAATACTTGGAGAAACCCCAATTCACATTCCCAATACAGTTTATTTAGGTCACTTATGTTTGTCTCACTAGATCCATGATGGATACAGTTTTACTATATCCAGCTATTATATACAACTCCCATGTTGCTCAGCCAGCTGACCTGCTAGCTGTGCGGTTAGGAAGCATAGCCCACAGCAGATATAAATGGCAAAACACAGCTCCGCCTGACCCACGTGAAGCCATGCAGCATGCTAATACAGGACTCATGTTTAAAGGGACTTGTATAATACAACAGAAACATGTCGGCAGCCCAGGGATGCCCTAACTCACCGCCTCTCGCACTCCGGCAGCATCGTACCCCTGATCAAAATAGGGCAGAGCATCAACCACCACCTCCCCGGCCACCAGACTGGTACCCGCCATCTTGGAACACCGGCAAGACTACAGCAAGCAGCGCGCATGCGCAGTGTGCCACTGGAGCGCACGTGTTTACTGATTGGTCGGAGAATATTTTCATTCACGTCCGGGTTGGCGTGAACACCCACGTGTTGCTGTTAGGATTAGTGTGTGTGGCGCTGCTTTATGTTATCACAATAAACAGGCACAACTAATGCAATGTGTGATGATATAAGATTGAAATAATATGCAGATAAATCACTATTCCAAGTGCAATGCTTGTATTCAGAAATCTGGCAGTGTAAATAAAATATTTCGAGCTAGCTTTAAATGCCAGTTTCAGGCACATTAGTAAAGAGGTTGCTGTCACCTGAAATATCACTGTCCACAGCTCCAGTGCCCACCACTAAAGTCAAAGTGTTCCTCTTTGGCCAGGTGCATTTTTGGCTGGCATGTGTGCTTGTGCTTTTTTAACCCCTTAAGGACAGAGCTTCAAAAGCTTGTCTTTCACTTAATGACAACGGCATTTTTTTCATTTTTTGCTGTTTGCGTTCAACTGCAATTTGCATTTTACTAATTTGTTGCACCAACACACATTATACATCGTTTTTTAAAGGACAGAAAGGGCTTTAATTTGATGTAACCACATATATATAAATGCTTATTTATTATTAAAAAATACAGAAAAATTTTAAAAAAATGAAAAGTTTTTTTTTTTTTTACAGTTTTTGCAATAATAATGCGTGCATAATTAGTGCAGGTTAAGAAAAGTAATTAAAAATAAATTAATTTAGTTGTTCTGATTTACAGAATATACAATGTGTCTGGGATTTAAAGTTTTTTTTGTAGTTACAGGTCACAAAGCACAAGGAGTAAAATAGACTTTTAATGTGGAGCGATTTTAGAATTTGGTATGTTTGTCTTGTAAACCTAATAGCCATAAAAGAAAACAAAATTGCCACACAAAAGTATATATTTATATAAAGTAGACATCACGGGCTATTTACCTAAGGTTGTTTTGACACTTTCTACGTAGCCATTTCACCGCCAACCTCTGCTAAATATTGGAGTAAAATTGTGTTTTTTTTGGTTTTTGGCACACAAACTTATAACAAAGAAATTCTCGTGTATATTTTGTAAAGTTGGTGTGTGCTATTCCTGTACAAAGTTTTATTTTGTGTTCAGTTACATCTGCTGAGTAAAACGACACCCCCATTGTATGTCTTTGCCACTATTTTGTGAAGTTACAGTGCCACACAGGATACCTGTCCTTTTCAGTATTCACAGTAGAATTTTGAGAGATGGATTTAATGAGCCTTAGCTTCCATTTGGGGTATTATGACAGTTTGACTGTTCAAAAAACCCCCACAAAGGCCTACCATTTGTAAAAGTAGACACTCCAGGGTATCTCATAAGGTGCATATTGTGCCTTAACATGCCCCCATTTTTTCACCAATATATGCCAAAGTATGTGGTAAAAAATAATTTTGTGCATTTTTTACATACGGATTGCATTTTTGCTGGGCGTTTTGTATATTTCATATGTGCCACTAAGTTCAAACCCCCAAATTATGCTCAGCTAAGTCTTCTGAGTAAAATGACACCCCATATGAATGTCTTTGGCACTATTTCGTGAAGCTACAGTGCCATATAGGAGACCTGTCCTTTACAGTATTCACAGTAGAATTTTGAGAGATGGATTTAATGAGCCTTAGCTTCCATTTGGGGTATTATAACAGTTTGACTGTTCAAAAAACCCCCACAAAGGCCTACCATTTGTAAAAGGAGACACTCCAGGGTATCTTATAAGGTGCATATTGTGCCTTAACATACCCCCATTTTTTCACCAATATATGCCAAAGTATGTGGTAAAAAATTATTTTGTGCATTTTTTACATACGGATTGCATTTTTGCTGGGCGTTTTGTATATTTCATATGTGCCACTAAGTTCAAACCTCCCAAATTATGCTCAGCTAAGTCTTCTGAGTAAAAAGACACCCCCGATGAATGTCTTTGGCACTATTTCGTAAAGCTACATTGCCATATAGGAGACCAAGCCATATCCGTTTTTACCAAACTTTGAATTTTGACGCTGGGCCTATGTGCAATTTCCAAGCATCTTCGCAGGTTTTAAATTCAAACTACCCCACAAAGGCCTACCATTTCTTAAAGTAGACACCCCAGGGTGTTTCAAAAGGTATATTTTGAACCTTAGCGTGGGATCATTTTTCCGCTAGCTTGTACCAGATGTAGTGGTAATAAGCGTTTTTTCTGCCTTTTTGACATACAAAGTGAGTTTGCACAGTATATTTTGCAAACCTTATGTGTGCTACGACTGTATAATACTTCATATGTTGCTCAGCTATGTCGGCTGAGTACAGCAATACCCCCGTATGTACCTTTGCCAGGTATGTGTGGACATCGGAGGGGCACATTTGGGACACAGCCATTCCAGTTTTTTTCAAACTTTGAATTTTTATGCTGTGCCTATGTCCCATTTTAGAGTATTTTACCAGGCTATATAATCCAAATACCCCATAAAGCCATACCATTTCTTAAAGAAGACATCCCAGGGTATTTCAAAAGGCATATTTTGAACCTTAGCGTGGGATCATTTTTCCGCTAGCTTGTACCAAATGTAGTGGTAATAAGCATTTTTTCTGCCTTTTTGACATACAAAGTGAGTTTGCGCAGCATATTTTGCAAACCTTATGTGTGCTATGACTGTATAATACTTCATATGTTGCTCAGCTATGTCAGCTGAGTACAGAAATACCCCTGTATGTACCTTTGCCAGGTATATGTGGATGCTGAAGGGGCGCATTTGAGACGCAGCCATTCAGTTTTTTTCTAACTTTGAAGTTTTACGCTGTGTCCATGTTCCAATTTGGAGTAGTTTAGACGGTTGGTTATTGAAACTTCCCCACAAACCCATACTATTTATTAAAGAATACACCCTGGGGTGATTCAAAAGGCATATTTTGAACCTTGGCGTGGGATAATTTTTTCTCTAGTTTGTTCCAGGTGTAGTGGTAATGAGCGTTTTTAAAATGTATTTTTTTACTTTTTATAACTTTTTTACTTTTAAAAACTAGTTTTTAAACTTTTGTTTTGCTTATAAATTTTTTTTAAACTTTCCTAAACTTTCTTAAAACTTTTTTACAGATTTAACATTTTTCTAAGCTTTTTTTTTTACCGTTAACCCCTAACTAGCAGTACGCAGCACTAACAGTAAATTCCCCATTTTCCCATAACTCCCACCCACCCCAGCTAGCAAAATACATAGTTATAAAATATTTAAATTAATTAAATAAATAAATTGAACCCCTGAGGGTTAAAAAATAAATAAAAAGTTAATCCTCAGGGGTTAAAAAAAAATTAGATCACAGTATAATACTGTGATCTCTATTTGATCGCTGTAGGCAGTGATCGACTGGCAGGGAAGGGGTTAATTTTTATTTGGACTAGGTAAAGGTTTTTGTTTTTTTGTTTTTTTACTTAAACGTTATTAAAACATTTTTTTAAGCTTAATTTTTTACTTTTTAAAGTTTATTTTAAAACTTTTTTAAGTTAACCCTTAGTTAGCCTAACGCCAAATCCCCCAATTCCCCACTAACTTCCACCCACCCCAGCTAGCTAAATATATAATTTTAAAATATTTTAATTAATTAATTAAATAAATTTAACCCCTGAGGGTTAAAAAAAAAAAGAATTAACCCTCAGGGGTTAAAAAAAAAATCAGATCATAGTAAAATATAATCCCTGCCAATTGATCACTGTAGTCAGTGATCAATTGGCAGGGAAGGGGTTAATTTTTTATTAAAATGGGTAAGGGGGGGGGGACTTTAAATTAACTTTATTTTTTTAACAGCAGGGGGCAGGATCATCACTGGTCCGGCTCCCTGCACTTCACACAGAACCCGGAAGTGCAGGGAGCCAGTAGGTGAGTATACAGAGCAGATGTGCTCGCTCTGACTTGCGGTCAGAGCGAGCACATGTGCTGGGCAACCTGACCGGGTGCTCCCGGTATGCCTCTAATGCAGAGGCATACCGGAGCACCATTAACCCCGCGATCGCCGCGATAGCGGCGATCCGGGGTTAATTTTACTGCGTGACGGACGAGGTCCGTCACTCGTCGTTAAGGGTCTCCCCTCTGTGACGGACCTCGTCCGTCACTCGTCCTTAAGGGGTTAAATGTACCCTACCAGGTGATACTGTACGGAAATGTGTAAATTTAAAAAAAATGGGTGACAAAGTAGCACTGCCCAACTAGGTTTTCTTTTGTTATTGGGCTGTCAGGTTACAGTTCCACTTTAAGTTTAAGCAACTAGGGCTAACTAAGCGCTGCGGAATAAGCTGGCGCTATATAAATGCCGATAATAATAATAGCTCAATTAGTGTTTTACATAATTTTCAATCCATGCCACTTTTCATATGAATAAAATCCTTTCCGGATTGGTACTTTTTTCTGCTTTTTCGTTTTTACCCCACACGTTCCTCGAAAATAATTCATATCTGCCTAAGAAAAGCCTGCCGCAATGATACCGGAGTAAAATTATGACAGTGTAAATGGGCACAATAATTATTTTTTTATACATAGCGATAGATTTTTATTCTAAAAAAAAAAGATTTAAAAAATGAAGCAAAACAAAAAATGACAGCGTAGGAGTGACCTTTTGATGCCAAACAAGGTTAAAAAAAATGACACTTTCTATACACAACCTCCTTATTGGCTGCTTACCTTTGGAATTTGACTTTTTCCTGGATCTTGTTTGTTCAACTGTGCCTTAGTCTAACCCCTGCAAGATATGACCTCCCAAGAATCCAAATTAAGGAGAGGAAATGTCTGTTTTGTGCACAACTACCTCTGTCCGTCTTCTCTTCTATTGTCACCCATTTGAAGCACCAAATTGGAACGTATGTGCCTATAACTGTGCTTCACAACAATGTTCAAGTAGAGATTGTAAACGTATTAGTCTAGTGATGTTTTTTACATCTTCAAAACAATAAAATTCAAAATAGTTTGACTTTAAATTACAGTGAATGTGTTTAGAAATTGGCCTATGTTTAGCAAGCAACATTTTATATTGTGTCAAT